AACTGGGCGCAAGCAAACGATATGCATTTTAATAGGCTACATGTAAATGTATACATCTAGGAACGAAGGGTGTAGCCATATGTACAGGATGTCCTAGCCATACAGTCTATCCTGGGAAGCAGTGACGCTGACAAAGATTTGGGGGCAGCAGTGGATAAGCCGAATGTGAGCTTCCAGTGTGTTGCTGAGGCCAAAAGAGCTAATGGGAGAAATAAACAGGGGAAACTGAAGTAGGAGTAAAGATTTCTCTATTTGAACTGGTGCGACTGCTGCTGGAACCCTGTGTCCAGTTCTGGAACACACAATTCAAGAGGGATGTTGCTATATCTGGGAGGATTCAGAGAAGAGCAACAAGAATGACTAAGGATTAGAAAGCATGTCTTACAGCGATAGACTCAAAGAGTTCAATCTATTTAGCTTAACTAAGGGAAGGGTTTGGGCTGACTTGATTGCAATCTATAGGTATTTATGGGGGAAATATTCAACAATGAGCTCTTCAATCTAGCAGAGAAAGGTATCACGGGTATAAGTTGAAGCTACACAAATTCAGACTGGAAATAAGATGCGAATTTTTGACAGCAAGAGAGTCATTAACCATTAAAACAATTCACAAAGGGTCCCGGTGAACTCTCCATCACCGGTAATTTTTAAATCAAGATTGGAATTTTTCTAAAAGTTACGCTCTAGGAATTACTGTGGGTGAAAAGTGCGGCCTGTGTTATACTGGAGGTCAGACGGGTCCCTTCTCGTCTTGAAATCTATTAATCTACGCTTGCACCCAGTTTACCAAGCAATCCAGATCGCTCTAAATCAGCGGCTTGTCCTCTTCATTATTTACCACTCCACCAATTTTAGTGTCCTCTGCTAACTTTGTTTTCTTCCGGGTTATTGATACAAATGTTAAATACCGTAGTGCAAAGAACTGGCCCCTGCAGGACCCCACTGGAAACACACCCACTTGACATCGATTTCCATTTCACAATTATATTTCAACACCTATCTGTTAGCCAATTTTTACAGCCTTTCATGCGTGCATGTTAATTTTATATCGTTCTAGGTGTTTTAATCAAAATGTTGTGCGGTACCAAGTCAAACACCTTACAGATTTGCATGTAAGGGTGTCTCCCACGGGTGCTTTTTGAACGGGAATTCCATGCGACAGGAGATTAACCTTTGTTACATAGTTAGGGCCAGATTCTGCCGCCATTACTCACAATGTCCCTCTGAAATCAGAAACTTGCACAGAAGACCGAGGGCTTGTCTACACAGGTAGTCATGCCGGTATAAGGTAGGGTGTGAATTTAAACTATGATTGTTATACCAGTATAACCTCCATTGTGGATGCTCTTATTCCAGTATAAAAGGGCCTTTTTCCAGTTGAGGTTATGCTTCTTTGGAAGCGGTTTAACCTAAGATGAAAAAAAACCACTCTTATACCTGAATGGGTGCCCCCCCACTGCAGCGTTATGTAGTCCAACTATAGTGGTTTAATTATACCAGTATAACTGGACCCATGTAGACACCCCTAATTCCCTTTTCCTAGCTCCTTCTATTATCCTGGCACATTTGAGATGGTAAGTGAAGGCTTGAGCCTTCGTTGCTTTACTGATGAGCTGCCTCAGAGTTAGCAGCCTGGGCTATTATCCTACTATAGGCTATCAAGTGAGTCACTCGTTTTTTTTATACTTACTGCAGATCAAATAAAGACAAACATCAAAGGCTTGCATTATGTTTCCGCCCTTGGAGGATTTACTCATGTACCTTTTGATTACAGCAGATGACACATTCAACTCCAGCATTTTCTTTTTCTTGCAGCTGTTGTTAATAGTTGGCGTAATTGTATTTTTCACAGGACACAATTACATTAACTAATAAATACTGAAAAGTGTAACGTAAAATGAACAAAAGAAGGGTCGCTCCGTATCAAAGCTGAAACGCTGCTTCTAACCCACCCTGTTTGTGCCTAGCTGTAGTAGCAAACACACTACGCAAGATCACCCCGGCATTCCTAGACTTGAAGAGCCCGTTTTCACTGCACAGTTAGTCTAGGTGATTGGCACCCAGGTCTAAAAACCCAGGTGAGCCTACCCTCTGGGCGAGCATCCCCCCAGAAGAGCTCTACCTGGGGTCGTGTGTCCTCATTGTTTCTGCACTCACCTGTGTGTGTCTGAGGGCATGGCCCATGGTTCCTTGTGCTGATACATTCTAGGATTCCTTCCCAATCATTTGCGTCAATTGCAAAAAGAACTTATCTGTCCTTTGGGGGAATTGTGGGAAGCCACTGGAGGACTATCAGCACTTGAGTGATTTTGCATATGTCTTTGCCACAAAAGTGGGCAGGCTCCAGCTCGAGTTAAAGTGGAGCTCAGGCACCAACTCACCACCGCCAGGCCAGTAAAAGCCCGGGTTAACGGTGCAGTGAAGACACACTCCAAGAGACAAATCTACAGAGCCACTCACCTTAATCACAGGCAGAAAATTGTGCACTAGTTGCACATGAAAAATGCGAGTTTATACACACTACCAATGAGATACAGGATCTCAGGGCTGCCGACTTTATAAACTGGAATAAGTTACATGGCTTCCATTGCAACTAGGGCTGTGTATTCGAATGCTACAGAACCCCAAATAAACCTGTATAGGGTGGCATCTGAATTTGGGATTTCTACCACCAGGACCTATTTAAAATATGGGAACAAAATAATGCAAGATCATAGTCTTTTCACACTATTTCAGAGTCTAGAGGAAGGATACACTGGGACAAGAGTAAACCTCTTACATTGTTTCAACCCCAGAAAGTGTTTCCCAACCCTCCTCCTCTCCCCCCCCCAAAAACCCTAATAAAAAACAAAAGAAATACAAACTATTTGATACAGAATACTAGAGCATGAACACAACTCCAGTTACAAAAGGCAGCGTTGTAACTTTCCATCACTCATCTTAAGAAACTCTTGACATTAGAAAAAGGACCAAAACCATGATTACGTCATGATGTCTACAGTTTAGGTAGAGTACCTTGAATTAGATTGTTTGCAAGGAACTAAAGCAGCGGTTCTCAAACTTTCGTACTGGTGACCCCTTTCACATAGCAAGCCTCTGAGTGCAACCCCCCCATATAAATTAAAAACACTTCTTAATATATTTAACACCATTATCAATGCTGGCAGCAAAGTGGGGTTTGGGGTAGAGGCTGACAGCTCGTGACCCCCCCATGTAGTAACCTCACAACGCCATGCAGGGTCCCGACCCCCAGTTTGAAAACCCCTGAACTAAAGGATGGGCAGTAAACACATACGAGCGCTGTCTCCATGCAGCTACAATGAAAATGAGACACGGGTCTCATGAGGTCGTCTCAGGATCCAAACCAACCAAAAAAGCCAGGACACCCATAATTCTGCAAACAGACCCTAAGGGCGGGATTTTAAAGAGCACTTAACGTTGGTCTCGCTCCGCTCCCAGTAAGTTAGTGTTAACGCTCTCATTGACTCCAGCACAGTTAGGCCAGCACTGAGCACTTTTGTAACTTCCACCCGTATGGTAGAATTACTTTAGCTCTGAAAGACCCTGTCTGCACTGGCGGCGGCGCACGGGGTGCGTGCAGCGCCATGTGGCAGTGAAAGGCTCCGGCAGGGGAAGGAAGCGGGCGAAGGCTACAGCGGCGGGGAGGCAGCAGGACACTAAACCGCTATACACAGTAGTGTAGACATGGGAGGCACTCCTTGGGTGTGTCGAGAGCCGTGTAAGTTACATGCCCCGGCGTTCAGGCATGGGCAATCCACTCACGTAAGCGGTGCCTCACCTCTATGCTGCTACCTACACCGGCGTTAGCTGGGTGTGCGCAGTGTCTACTCAATACGCCTCTGTAAGGATAGACCTAACTCTACCAGGTCGTTAACGGCAATGGGTAAGGAGGCAGAGCCCCTACCCTAAAATGATTGCAACGGAATACAGACCAATACCTCGCACAGTGCAACCATTTGCATCAGCTAATTCTGATTCTTCTTACTTTTGTGGGGTTAATCAGAGTCACTGTCGCTTAAACATGGGGGGAGGGATAGCTCAGTGGTTTGAGCATTGGCCTGCTAAACCCAGGGTTGTGAGTTCAATTTTTGAGGGGGCCACTTAGGGATCTGGGGCAAAATCAGTACCTGGTCCTGCTCGTGAAGGCAGGGGGCTGGACTCGATGACCTTTCAGGGTCCCTTCCAGCTCTATGAGATACGTATATCTCCATATACACATATATTGTATACACAGAGTTGTAGAAACACGTCTATACATAATACATGATGGCAACGGTAAGTAGAGAGAGTAAAAGAGATGTCCAACTGGATGGCTATTGGGTTTGGGATGTCTTTGGATGCCACATCAACAATCCCCTTGAAATGCCATTACTGTGTCATTTTTCAGGTGCTAAAAAATCGTGTGACATGCACAGATCTGCTTCCTAGGTGTCCCCAGAATCATAGGGACACAAATCAGCCCTGCAGCCCAGATCTAGACAGGGAGGAGGAAGCCGGGTTCCATTCTGTGTTATTGCTTTATCAACCACACTGACAGCTGTGCTATGATCCAAGCATGAAGATCATAGATTTGCCGTTGATTAGACAACCAAGCGAAAAGAACACAGCTTGATATTCAGACAGCAGGGCCAGGCTGCCAGGAGTGACAGATAAAACGTGCGTTTGAGCATGTTTTTAATTCGGCAGCTATTGTTGAAAGAAAGTCGTGGGACGCAGGATGCCATTTTTATGGTGGCACCTCTGGCCAGCTCCACTCGGACACGTAAACACGCCTGCTCAATTGCACTGTAGGGCCTGAAGAGGTCCCCCTTCCAGAGCCGCTGCTCCTGTTGTCCCTTTGGCAGGTACATCTGGATGCTATAAAGACACAAACTGGCTTGCGTACGCCCAGTGAATACATACTGGTTTGCAAGTTGAATCCAAAAGTCCCGAATTCTCACTCAAAGTTTACACAGTTAAAAAGGGGCTCAAACACTAACCTGTTGAGTCCGTGGCTTGTATGGGGAGCTGCTTTCCAAGTCAGCCAGGATGCTGGTCAAGGAGTCGATTTCTGCATCTAAACTGGATCGTCTTTCTTCAAGCGTCTTCTCACCAGGATTTACCTAGCCGAGTAAGGAACAAGATTTCAAACTCTTTCGATGGCTCAATCCGGCATGCAGTTTCTGATTTTCATCACATGGAGATACTCTCACACCCTGGCAACAAATCCAGGGCCCCAGGTGACGCACAGATAAACATGCTGACATATTGTAGCTGGCTACCGTAATCAGACTGGGGATAGGAAAGAGGGAGCGGACGACGGGGAGGGGGAACAACTGAGTTGCAAAAGGATTGAGTCTGATTTTTAATCTGTCATTTGCATTTTCCTCTATGGTTTCTGGAAGGTTCATTTAAGGATTATGAAATTATCTTAGATCAATTTGGAGGGTGCTGCATAAATGAGTAGGCAGCTATACTTTAGCAGCAGGCCTGGTGCGATGGTTTGAGCATGGGCATTCAAAAGAGCATCTGGGAATGTCTTTGCAAGGGAATCGTGTCCCCCACCCCTGGAATGGCTGTCATTTAACAGCACCGAACAACACAAAAGCAATGGGTAAGGTCAAGATGGAAGGAAGAACATGGTATCCAATTGATACCACAAAGGGAATTTGGAGGAGACAGAATGCCATTGCCCAATTGGGAAGCTGGACAGGACAATGGTGTTAACAATCCTGCATTGAGGCCCATGGGATCTATAATGACCACGAGAGATCAGGATCCCTCTTTTACATCTCACCTGGAAAATGCCACCTCCTATAGCACAGCGGCTTCTGGCGGGCCAGAAGGCGGAGGGTGGCGTGGGTGTGGTTGTGTTGAGAAACACGGGACAAATTTGCCTCATTATAACTTTTAATAGGAGGTAAAATGATTTCCCTTCTAATGCTCTTTGTCATGCCTTGGCCACAGTGTTTTATGATGCCTAACCTTTGCCTAAGGTCCTTAGAAAGAACATGTTCGAACAGCATGGAAATGCTGCCGGTCTTTAGGAACAGTCTAAATGAGGTCGAGTAGTTAGCGAGCACAGGACTGGGAGCCAGCGGCGTTGGTACTCTACTTCCATCCCGCCCACTCACTGGGTGACCCTTCACCTTCATCCACCCAGCTGGAAAAGTGGTGAAAAAGCAGGCTCTGCCCCTGATCTGACCAAGCCGAAGTACTAGACAATGCATGCAAGCCGACCCGGCCTGATAAATTATTCCACGCCTGTTTGTGAGCGTTTCTGCAGATTCCACAGGCCCCTGATCTCGGTCGGCCTGAAGGGAGAACAGCAGCGAGCCTTACTAGCCTGACTTGTTTGTCAGCGAGTGAATTCTTGGTGCACGGCTCCCAGCAGCTGTGACATAAATCCGTCCCCAGCCCTGCCGATCCCTGCTCTGCTCGGACGGAAACTGATTTTCATTTGCTAATCCTAGCACCCACCACGAGTCCGTATCAGGACCCAAGATGCACTCGCTCTAGAGCCTTCAGCCCAGAGGAGAAGCCGGGCTGGAAGCTTGGCTCTCAGTGCACAGTAGCAGTTCCCGGTAGGGAGAGATGGGCAGAGGGCACCAGGCGAATCTGGTGGGCCATGAGGCATGACCATGTGCACTGATTCCCGCACAGTCCACCTCGCCACTGAGCCCAGGGCATCTGCTCCCAGCAGGATTCGTAAGTCGCAAGGAAGGAGCAAGAGCAATATTTACTGTGCGTCTTGTAGGTGTAAAAGGCCCAGTCCTACAAACTGGTTCATACAGAGCAGCCCAGATCACCAGGGTTCCCAGTCTTTGGTTGTTTCAAGCCCCTCTCTCGCTTGCCCCTGCCCCTCACCCAACACAGATGCAACTCAACTCCTTTATTTTTCCTCTCCATCTTCTGTCTCTCGCCCTTTTTTCTCTCCTTCTCCTCTATTTTGTGCTTTCCTCTTCTCTCCATTCCCCACTCGCTGCTGGCGCTTAGAGCACAAGCTGCCACGCTTGGCCCTGGAGAGCCGAGGTGCAACAGCTTTCGACCGCCTGCTGCCAGAGCAGCTTGGGCTGGTGGCTGGGTTCCAGAGCCTCAAGTCCTGGGGTGGGCGACCCATCGCCACGGCCGGCTACACTGCAGGAGCAGGGAGAAGATGGGCGTGGCTCTCAAAGTCCTGCCTGCCGCCACCGGAATACATCTGCAAGGGAGGGTAGCTTTGGAGTCATGGGGTGAACTCCTGTCCCCATTGAAGTCAACGGCCAAACCTCCATCAACTTCAACAGGGTCAGGATCTCACCCATTCTGTTCTCCCCACCCACACGGCACCTGCCCGTCCACGCAGGGATAAAATGACAAAGGAAGTGGCAGGAGCCTAAGTCCTGCCTGAGCATCTTGATGAGCGTTCCAATAAACTCAAACCCCGAGCTGTGCCTAAGGAAGGCTACATAGGATATAGCTCTGATTTGGGAAATTACATGAGCGAAGGCTACCCTAACCCACACGTGCAAGAGGGCAGAGTCAAGGTTACGCACGCTCAGCCGTGCGCCCTTGCCATCCTCTTAACCCAGCTTCTTGTGTGGAATTGTTCAGCGTGCATCAGAATGACTCCTTCAGGACACTCGTTGCTTTCTCAATTCGAGAGCAGCCCAGAAATCGTCTCCCAGACATGCAGCGGTATTGGCTCGCCCTGCACTAATGACAACCCTGTACCTGCTGCATCATCTCCTAAGTCATTTTAGCAGGGAAAAGTCACTCACACGCCTTTCCTGGCCGATCTCCATTCAGAAGCGGCCAAAACACTTCAGACAGCTATTCCCGTGCAGCGCACCCCACAAGGGCACCGCACAGTGATTTCCCTGAGCAGACAACTGGGAGCAAAACAAAATAAGGAAATGGAGCCTACCCTAAAGCACACACAACTGACCCAGAACAATGCTCTGTGTCCCATACGCAATAGTATCCGCCGTGTCCTGGATACACTAGGACAGTTCTGGATGCATCATTTGTTTCCACGAGTTACTGATGACCTTATAACCCACAAGTGGCCGAGCAGAGCTGGGCCGCGATTGAGATAGGAAAGGGCATCGCTAACGAGTGGAAACAAACGAGGTAACCCAGAGCTGCTTGTGCAACACTGGTTTCGCTTTGCGCCTGCAATGTCGGAGCACTGTGACAGGTCAATGTCGTCTCCATCTGCAGCAGCCGGGTCCCGCCAGTGAGGGGACAGTGAGGAGCAGTGTGTGAAAAGGAAGGGTCCTTAGCTGTAATGCCACCGCGCTGGGGGAGAGAGAGCAGAGGGGCTCTGAGGGGGAGACAGCAGGAGATGCACACTGTGGGGTCAGGCAGGAGGAGGGTACAGAAGCCAGGCAGCTGGGCAGTACTCGGACCAGCCAGGCGCTTTGGGGGTGGCTATGCAATCTCACGTAAGTGGCACCACATCCAGCTCTTCCACCTGCTCCCACCAGCTCACATCCTGCCCCACGTCTCTGCAAAGCTCTGCAGTCTCCGGTAAACCACACACATGGACTGGGATGGTAGGAGCAGGAAATGAAGCTAGCTGCCAGGCTGGCAAGTTGGCATTAGGTTTAGACAGAACCACAGCTAAAGAAGTGAGACTAGGGATCATACAGAGGAGGGATATTTCATATATAATCGTGGTCCAGTTGGTAGGGAACTGAGCTAGGAGTCCAGAGACCTGAAGACTACTCCCAGCTCCGCCACTGACCTGCTATGTGACCTTGGTCAAGTCACTTCCCCTTTCTGTGACTCTCTTTCCCCTCCCACCAATCATCTGCCTTGTCTGTTTAGACTGTCAGCTCCTTGGTGCAGGGACTGTCTCTCGTAACAGGGTTCAAAAAAGAACTAGATAAATTCATGGAGGATAGGTCCACCAATGGCTATTAGCCAGGATGGTGTCCCTAGCCTCTGTTTGCCAGAGGCTGGGAATGGGCGACAGGGGATGGATCACTTGATGATTACCTGTTCTGTTAATTCCCTCTGGGGCACCTGGCATTGGCCACTGTCGGAAGACAGGATACTGGGCTAGATGGACCTTTGGTCTGACCCAGTAGGGCCATTCTTATGTTTGTATTGTATGTCTGTACAGCGCTTTGCACGCCTGCTCTTGGCTGGCCTCTGTAGGTGCTACTTCAATACATACAGTATATACACACACAACATATAGATCAGTTTCTGCAGTCTGTCCCTCCAAAACGGCTCTGCCAATCCCATGCATTTCAATGGGGTTGAAACCTGTGTCCCTAGTTTGCTCCCCCAATCTCTCTGTTTTTGGTTTTCAAATGGGAGTGGGCTTGTGTGTGTGTGGCACAGAGCCCCCGTGCGGCCAAAGTCCCACATGTCCAAAGCACCGTGTGCCTCGCATGTATACAACACTTCCCCAGGTATGCCCCCTAGTCACCACAATTACCTCCTATTTAACTCTGGGGGAAATGCCAACTGGCTGACTTTTTAACACCTATTGTACCTACAAGGAGCGAGCGCAACAGATTTTCACCAGTGATTCAGACTCGACGCAGCCCAGTTTGACGTCTATGTTGATCTCTTGTGCCACGTTTCTCCAATGACACCACGGCCGGACAAAGGATCCTTTCCACACCATACCCCCTCGCTACTCATCTCACTGGCTATACAGTTCTTCAGCCCTCGTTTCCGAGATTACCAAAGCCATCCGCAGTGCAGAGAGACACCACAGCCGCCGCTGAAAACCAGCAGAAAGAGGCATCCTTCAAGGCATAAGGAAAATAAAGCACCTGGCAGATTCGCCACTGTGTATCCCCCCGAACCTAAAGACAAGAGCAAAGGTTTTGTTTCAAATCCCCAAATAGACATTACAATAATTCACGGAAGGCTGCCCGGCCAAACAGGCATGTGAAGTCAAAAGATGACTCCTGCGTGCGGGGTGGGGATCCAAGAGGCTAGATTTGATGTGAAATCGCTGTTCCAGGCATCAGGGACGGGTTGGAAAAGCAGCGGTGCCCTTTAAAAATGGCGAGCTTGAGCCTTTTGAAACAAATCCGAAATGAAGGGAGGTTTCAGCAGATGCGACTGCCGTGATTTCAACAGACGTGGCTGAATCAGGGATCTAATAGAACAGAACTTC